CCGGGATATTTTCTGTAAGCTTGTCCAAACGAGGAACTACTCAACTCGATGGCACATATAAATCATCCGAACTGACTTCAAATGCATCCTGTAGTTTCCATGGTCCCCTCAGCTATCACTGAGAAGAGAGGAAAGAAGACACGAGAGACTTCAGGTACACCCCAGTCTTTTATTCCTGAGCTTTGATGACCCACTTAGAGAACTCTGTCCCTTAGAAACTTGGATGGACTTTTAATCAAGGAGGACGTGTGAGGTTTTCCCCAGTGTCAAAGCTGACTTCCATCAGAATCCATCATTTGCTAAGCTATGAATGATATTTTAGGCCACGTGAAGATGAGATGTCAACACATCCATCTTTCACCAGAAGTTCTGATACCACTCGCAGAACTAAGGAAAAGACAAGGAGACCTGTCATATACATGATTCATGATTTACTCCCTGGTAATAGTCTCTTTAGTGGTTGAAGCATACCAGCCAAAGAACAGATGTTCCAGAAATAAACATGTCCAGTCAACAGAAACAATAGACTTCGTTTAAAAAATTCCCTGTCCAGACTCCATTCAAATCATTTTTGTTTTAACATTATCATAGTTAACTAATATGCTCTGTGGAGGAAATGGACATTGGCAAAGTCCACTCGTTCAAACACCTCCAACTTCAGGGGAAACTCAGTAACGGCTCAGACAGGCCGGCTTTCTACCGAGTAGAGAGAGCACAGCAAAAGAAGTAAGGTTAAAACATGTGCAGAGGCTTCAGGACATTTGGGGAACAATGGAATTGGGGGATAATGGATAGTTTCCATGACTTCTTCAACCCCCCCTTGTGGATCTATTGCTTTCTTCCTCACCCACATGTCCAAGTTTTTGTTGTTCATGTTAGGATTAGCTGCTCTGAATCTCTGATGCCCTAGATCCCTGGAGGACATCGTGCTTTGTCAAGCAGCAGGGCATTGAAACAGAAGTCCCTCCAAAGACTGGCACAGTAGCTACAAGCATGGGCTCAAGCAAAGGGCCATTTGCAGGATGGCACAGAACTGGACAGTGCTTTTGTCCATTGTACTTAGGGTCACGATGGGTCAGAATGGACTCAATGGAACTTAACAACAACAACAACAACAAGCAGATCATGAGAAGACAGGCAACATATCCTGCCTGGCTTTAGCAGAGGGCTAACAAGACTAGTAGTTCCTCCGATATTAGTTGCTGAAGTCTGTACTTCGATGACTTCGGGCTAGAAGGGAATGTAGGGTATTTTCTGGATACCTGCAAGGATTTGGGTAACTGTGTGATTTACTACAAGAACACGTTTTTGTTTTCTCGAGAAGATGAGCGAAGTGAGCCTTTCTTGCTGAAATCATAAACCATCTGTCTTCTTTCACCCTCACCTATTTTGCTGCAAAATAGAGGACGAGGTACACATTGACTCTTCAAATGCTGCTCTGCTAGTCCATGACAAAGTCTATCACAGACATCACCTCCTTTTAGATTCACTGCTCCCCCACCACTTCCTCCTTTGGCATGCTTCTGAACAGAGAGGGACTTCTTCACATATATTCCGATTGGAAGGCTGAGGAACCTGGAGTATTGGGGCCATCTTTGACCTTTGTGAGCTGACTTTTCTAGGGTGTTGAAACATTACACGGGTACAAAGACCCAGATTTAAATTTCAATTGGTAGTGACCATTAATACCCATGTCTACAATATATGGGTCTGGTGCCTGAGAAAGTTACATGGACATATTTAATATACATTGTATCCTATTTCAAAGTTTTCATTCTTTTAATAGCTAATGCTTTGTTTTTTGATTTTCTGCTCTTTTAAATTCCTAATGAGTAGAAGCACGCTCTCGGTTAAGGAGTTGGCAGCAAAATATGTAACACCTTTCGGGAACCAAATTATCTCTTGGATGAAAATGGCAGTGAAGGGTTGCGATAGATGCACAGCAGCCCAATAGAATGACTACCTAAGGAGAGCAGTCCTTTGGGGTGAGGCAGTGATGATATACATCGCCAAGAGCGAAGTATGTTTGCTTATGTGAGTAAAGCCACTACTTTTCAAAATTTCAGACCAGGTAGAGGAGCAATTTGTCCTACATAGTCACCTGTTTTTGAGGGGGAGTAAGGTCTCCTCAATGACAGTTTCCCATTTGTCTGGACGGCCTGGATGAGGTGTAACTGCGTTCTCTGAAGGCATTTGGCCTTTGCAATGCATTTATATTTGTTTCCAATGAAATCTGAGATGCTCTCTCGGTCACTCTCTTTGCCATAGGTGTGGTATGTACCTATCGAGTCCAACACCCCTTGGGCCTTCTCTCAGCACCACTACTGACCAATCTGAATTGTGGATCTTTATTCATGATAAAAAGTTCCCTTCGGGAAAAGTTGATAGCTTTATATCCGTCTGCACTATAATAGATGGTGATCTAGTGTTGATAAATATGTGGAGTGGGGATGAAAGGGATAATTCACAGAGAATCCACTATAAATTTTATGGTTAGGCTTTATCCTTTATTAGGTAGTAAGTAAAAGACAACTGATGTTTACAACTCCAATTTCAGAGAGACCATATCAACAAAAAGGGTTCCATAGCGAAGTGAGGCAAAGGGGGGATCCAGTTATTTCTGAGTTTTCTTCTTATGGCTGATGGAGAAAATATGGCTGATTTGTTTGCTCTCGGCAAATCGCTAAGGTGAGTAATGCCTTGTTATCCAGGCCTCTGTGTATCCCACAGACTCTGACTGTTTGCGGACTGGCTCATTCACTTTGGTGAAATTAGGGAAGAACAGTTAAAACCACATCATAGTGAGATATTGCATCAATGAACATTACATTTTACAATGAAAAAGAGGCTCCGTATCAGTTGTACAAGTTCCTGGACAGAGATTCAGGCTGATGATGACGAACAAACAAAATGCCTGATGGAATGCAAAAAGGAAGCCAAGATAACACAACCAGTTAGAAATTGAACTCATAAGCAACTATCCACCTGGTGAGTCAGCAAAATCCATAGGTGGCTGAAGGAGAGACATGCTCAAAACCAAGAGTAGAGATATTGATAAATGCAAAATCACTGGCTACTTTCAAGAACAAATTTAATGCTAACCCACACGTTGAAGTAGAGAGACATTATTTGAATTTTTTTTACCAGAAAATCCATGAATCACATTTGCTTTTTTGTTTGGTACTTTATATATATAAAGCCAAAAACTTTAAATATAAGTTTATCTGACAAATATCCTTAGCTAGATGATGGAGAAGAACTCCAAAGACCACATTTTATGTTGAGCACCAAGCACGCTGTGGGTGTTTGTAAATAGAAAATGCCAAATGCCAAATACCTCTCTCTCAAAAGCCTGGTTTCATCTGGAACCTGTGCACCTCTCAAACGGTTACTACAGTTTAGATAAGAGCTGCGTCAAGAAGGCCACACCTAGACCTTCCTTATATTTTAAATAGTCTTTACAAAACCTTTCCAAAAATATTTTTCTCTAAACCTAAATCATGGATGGTTGATTTGTACATGTTTTGCCATTGTTCTAAGCATGGGCGCCAATGCTCTTATTAATGCAACAGACTAGCTGCATCGCACCCCATCACGTTGACATTTTAGCTTCTTTCTACGGGGAAAAGCAGATCGCCTTTATCACAAAGTAAAGGCACAGCTATTTTATGCCATTTGTTACCAAGTGAATGATAACATGTAACACTGGATGGATTATATAATTATTTTGATATAGATTTTCTTTTTATAATTTATTTTTTAATCTTTCTAACATATATACAATATACATATATTTATATATACCCCTGATAAATCTTGTTTTAAAGGTAAAACATCAACTCCTTTCAGCCTTAAGGTGAAAATTTAAGGCTGTCAACATTCACTCCACCAGAGAAAAGATGGTCGAAAGGACTTTCCCAGTGTTTGTTTTCAAATGTTATATCCTCGGTGGGTAACTACCTCATGTTCAATTTTTTTGTTGCTACTAACATTTAAATATATATTACTTGTTTATATCATGTCAATAGGAAATCTAGAAAACAACAAACCCCCACAACATTAGGTAATGCTTAATTTCAGCATCATACTCAAGGCAGAAACTTGTGCCTAAGAGACACCCCCACTGGTATGATATAAAGGGATGTTGTAGAGGTGCGATATTCTGTTTTTACTGGATAATGTGCTAACGTGAAAGATAACTTTGCAGCATCATCATCCTAGGTTATGACCAACTGCGATCCATAAAGCAGAAGTGTAGTTACACTGATTTCCTTCTCAACATCCATGATGCTTGAGTTGATCTGAGTCATACGTTCATTCCCAACACATCCCTATGGCCATTCATACTAAGGGTGGAAAAACTAGCATTTTTTCAATCCATCATCTTTATGACTACCTCTCCCACTTCTAAGCCTAGCTCATTTCTACTGCTCTGACCACATAATTGTCTCCAAGCTGGTTAGGAAGTGGAGCCTATTGATTAGGGAGACCTCCAGACACCATCTGGTATTGATTTCTTGACTGCTTCCTGGCATGAGATAGTTGTTTGTTCTACCTTTTTTGCTATCCTTTAAAATCTAGTGGCATAGATTGAGACACAGCACTATTGTGTTACAAGACATCTACAGCATCTACTTTTGTTGGGCTAAATAACCCAGTAACTGATGTCGGCGCAAGAGGGTCAGCACGGGTACGACTATTCACAGTGTTGCTTCTTTTTCTGTTTTCTTTTTGCGTTATTTTAATCTACAGAGTAAATTATTCTATATACATCGGAACCAGTGAATGCCCTTAGACAATGAATAGTTGGTTCATAAAGCAGGAAAGACAATGCAAGGGGGTGGGGATTGGTGCCCCAAAGCACAGTCACAAAGGCTTCAGAAGTTCTAGATACCGCTACAAGTCAACGCTGCCTCTCACTTCTAAAACAATCAATGCTCAAGAGGAATGCTTAAATTTAGACCCAATACCATGCCCTCCCTCCCCACCCCAACCCGCCCGTATTTTTTATTTTGATTTTTAAATTTGTTTTTATAATCTTTTCAATTCACTATCAAAAGTCCTGGCTCTTCAGATAGACTTTAAACTATAAATAAACACTGCATAGTTCTCTTTTGTTTTCTGAAGAAAAAAAAAATTATTGCAGTACAATCGCTCCCATGTGGAATTCAGTAGGGAGCGAACAGCACAGGAGTGTGGGCGGTCCGAATGGGTCCAGGAGCCGGCCGCAGGAGTGCGGGAGGAAGTGCAGAAGTCTGGAACAAGGTGGCTGCAGGGGCGGGCCGGAGACTGAAGGGGGAATTCACTGCCACAGCGGCAGCAGCTGCTGCAGCTGCCAAGGGGTTTGGTAGAATTCGTGGTGCCAATGGCTTTGAAGGTTCTTTTGAAAATACTAATTTTACCTGCAAGGGAGAGGAAAAACGGGGTAGAAGAAAGCTCAATTTTCAGTGGATCACTAGAGCCCACAATGACAGGCAGTTATTAAAACATAGCAGTTAGCAACGACAAAGGTAAGCTCAACTTGAAAACCGACAATAAAGAGAATGGAAAGTGTAGAACATCTTTCCTTTGGAAGAGCCAGAAGATACCTGCAAATGGCCGACCTGGGATGTTAAAAAGTCCTCCGCAAAGGTACTCGGCAACCTGATTTTATTTGTTTGTTGATGATTATACTTCCAGAGGAAAGAGTTCATCTTGAGAAAAAATAAAAAGATTTAACTCCATCTTCCACACACACACACACACACACATTAACCATTAAGGAACACATATTTTAAAAGGCACAGACATTTTAAAAGAGGGATTACTTGACACTGTCATGAACACTAATCCACTCTCAGCGGTTCTCAACCTGTGGGTCATGACTCCTTTGGGGGTCGAGCGACCCTTTCACAGGGGTCACCTGATTCATAACAGTAGCAAAATGACAGTGATGAAGTAGCAACGAAAATGATTTAATGGTTGGGGGGTCACCGCAACCTGAGGAGTTGTCTGAAAGGTTCATGACATGAGGAAGGTTGAGAACCATTGCTCTACAGTGGATGACCTAGGTAGCACAAAAATGTTCCTCTTTATGAGAGGTGTTGATAAAGAAGAAACTTTTAATTCTGCTTGGAATGTGGAGTCGAAAGAAAACTTACCTTTTCCAAAGTGTGACAAGTTCCACTTACTCTTATGTGTGTCTTCTCAACCCTACCCCCCAAATGCAGTCATCATCTGGCAGAAAGCATCAATAAGATGACCTTTCTCTTGGAGGCAATGTTCTCATTGATGGAGAAAGTAGCGGATGAGTTAGGGCAGATTTAAATGCTACTATTAACACACTGTTGACTCATCTGTTTATTTCAGTCATTCATCAAAATGTCAAAGGCAGTAGCCGTGCTGGCCAAAGAGACCTCAAAGTGAAGATACTTGTGCTGAAACATGACAGTATCCCAGTACAGCCACAGGGGCTTCTGGACAATCGATAAACAGAACCCCTTCATGTACATAAGATTCGACTGATTTAAAATTAATTGCATTGATCCATACTACAGTCTTATAATAGATGACAGTTTTCTTTCAGCAATATTGTAATATGTCAATAGCATAGAGTAACATCAATTACTAATAAGTTCTATTTTGATTTAAAAATGTACAAGTTAGTACAATTGCAAATCAGAAATTCTTAACTTTTCATGGGGCATTGGAACTCTCTAATGAAAGCTGTCATCATAATTAGAAAATACAAAAAACAAAACAAAACATATACCCATAAATACTAGTGTATGGTGTAAGAAGTCCCATAGATTTCCACTAAGATCTAACAAACAAACAAACAAAATTCATGTGAGGACATCATCCTAATATGTGAACTAATCTAAAAGGCATAGGGTGAAGTGGGGAGGGTTTATTTTCACTGATCTAATTTGCCTTAAATAGGGTCATTGGATGGGTAACTAAGTATCACAAGCCACAAGCTGGGTTATTCAAAATCCATAATGGTTGAAGTTCTCAACAATAACGCTGCTTTGTCTCTTGGAGACAATCAGCAGGATGCACTGAGAACTTGGTTTTCACTGGCCTTCTTTCGTGTGAGTATTTACTAATATGAAGACTTGATTTCAGGTGATTGTTTACCTGATCCAGAATAATTAGCCTATTCTCCCTTCTCTACACTCTTTGATAAACATGAGATCAATTAAAAGAGATAAGACCTTGGCCTGTGGCTTGCAAGGTTAAAAAAAAAAGCAAACAAAACAAAACTCAAGAAAACAAAATTACCATTATTCGAGGAGAAGTTGGATTCTCAAATCTACTGCTTGCCATTCCATTCCATTTAGAACCCTCCACCCCCCACCTCGTCTACCCATTCCCCTCCAAAAATAAAACAAAACCCACAAGTTTAACACAGAGGGATATTAAAGACTATTTTCATTTGGGAATCAAAACTAACACTCACCCCCAGTGGATGTGCTCCCTTCTGTAGTTTGTTGTAAGGACTGTATTTCGGTTTAGGGGGCTTCCCAGCCGCTCTGTCTTTGTGCCTTCTACTGCTGATGTGCTATTGAAAATATGTAAAAAGAACAGATTTTTTTTAAGTCTGCCAAAGAAACTCTCATTTCAGAATGGAAAAAAATACAATGAAAGGACATGCACTCCCCGGCTCAGATTCTGAGGATTTGCACACATGGAGTTTTTAAATAAGTAAGGTGTACAAACCCACAAAGTTATGTACACATGCAAATAAAACAACACAATATGAGGGCAGGGCCTTCAGTTGGCAAAGCACAACTGATCTCATTGGAAGTCTAATCAGAGTAAGACTGAGCCCTGTGATTAGTCATCCCTTGAGCAGGTGGCTGCAGGATACAGTATGGCACCATGTAATAAAGCACATAAAAGAATAGCACAGCACAAAATTAGCCACAGCATGTAAATATCTAAATAAGTAAAAATAGCACATTGCAATTTGACCTTTAAAGAGAATTGACTTTTAAATGGAAACAAGATCTGATAATCCCCTTCTCACCCACCTTTCAGATACAAGAATAGTACAAACTACTTTCAGAGAATTTCTGAAAGGTCTTGGAAGTCATTACATGAATTTTGTATTCCTCAGCAATTAAAACAAGTTTAAATAAAGAATAGAGCAAACAAACAGACAGATAGAACAATGGGTATGTGGTTGTATCGATGGATGGATGAATGGATGGTGATGGATGAGAGAGCAATATAAGAAAGGGAAGTAAAGCAGCACACACATCCCACTGAGAAGGGGATTGTATTCTGTTTGCTTTCTTTCCTGGAGCATTTGCCACCTACCTGTTTAAGTTGGGTTTCTGAGTTGACGTGCACATCGCAGATTTCACAGTGAAATGTTTTATTTTGCAGGCCTGTGTTTCCCTTATTCACGGGTCCTTTCCCTTTCACTCCTGCCCTCGGAAATGCTTTGATAGTTCCGCTTCCATTCCGGGCTTCCAACATGGTTTTGTGCTTAGTACCTGCCATGAATATTTCAGATAAAGAGAGAGAAGAGGAGGAGGAAAAACGTCTTAGCTAGGATGTCTTTCAGAAACAACATCATGACAAATTGGACGCTTCTACTTAGTTCTGGTCTTCCAGGAATTATGGGTAAAGTATGTCCAAGGCAGACTGACCAATGTTCTGTAACTACCTAATATGTTGTTGTTAAATTATTTATCTTTAAAATAATGTATGCATTATGAACAAGCGCCATTACTATAGTAACTAAACTCCCAGGTCCAGAGATGAAATTGTATGGGTGTTTGTTACATACTCCTTTTTTATTTCCTGTAATAAGACATGAATGATAGCTGAAGAGGAAGAGTGATTTAGTTCCTAAAGGTATAGTTGGGGGTGATGAGCAACACAAGTAAATAATTTGAATACTTTACAGAAGTGGCACTGATTAAATACCAACTTTCTAAACAATACAAACAAGCATTTGGGGCTCCCTTTTTTATGCTCTAAGGAGTATTGGGGTCATAGTAGGTGACCTGTTGAGCTGTTACCTACAAGATCAGCAGTTTGAAATCTCCAGCTGCTCCTTGGGAGAAAGATGAGGCTGTCTGATACTGACGTAGTGACAGGCTCAGGAACTGGAAGGAGCAGTTTGTCTCTGTTCTATAGGGTTGATATGGGTTGGAATTAAATCCACTTGAGAGGAGTGGATTTAATTTTGGAGTTGGTTTTAGGTTCTGACAAGAAGGGAATAGTATAAATATCTTAAAGATGGTAAAGAAAAGTCACATTAGGATAATAAAAGCCTAAACCTGATTTGTTTTGTGATCCAAAAGAAGGGATACAATGAAAGGGTAAATAGATGCACCATAAATAAATGCTTCTCTTTAATAAACAATAACAGTATCTTTGAACTCTCACACATTCTTAACAGAGTCTACCCTTAGCAACATTTTACGTCACCGAACTTCCAAAAAAAAAGTAAGCAATGGCATTCTCCTTTCAAGATTTTTCTAACATTTTCCTTTTGCCCACAGACGGTCAATGATACTGATTCTTCTCATTCAGAGGCATTTGTTGTACTCCTGCGTGGTTTTACTGTCATGAAAGTACTTTAAGTTTGAATGCTAGTTATTTCACTTTCCTAATTGTATGTATTAGATTACGGTTAGTTCTGAGGTTGTAAAGTCACTGTTACCATCTGATGTTATAAAGTCAATTTGTGGGAAAACTTCCTAGAACGATTGGTGGGGCATTCTAGGCCAGTGATCATCCCCACCATGTTCAAGGATGTTGTTATGAGCCACTGACTCTATTCCACGCATAGTGAGCCCAGGTGGCACAGTAGGATTTTCCGTAGGATTTTCTAGGATATAATCTTGATGGGAGCAGATTGCCAGGTCTGTCCAAACCCACTGAGCATTACACTCTCATTTTAAGTAAAGGTCAATAACTCCATACGAAATGTTCCAAGTCAAGGATTTCCCTGATTGGAAATGATTATGACTTCATTGGAACTGTTTTTAAAAAAGTTATCACTTCGACTGGCCAATTTTCTAATTGTAAAAACATCCATAACACAACTCTTGTAGCTGTACAACATTTTTATCTTGTTCTATTGAGAAAACAGACACAAAATCAGCTCTCGCAGGAAGATTTGAGGAAATGAAATGGGGGTCTCAGAACTGTTTCATGGTGGGGATGTAAGGCCTTCATCAGCTTTCTTTCACAAGTCTTCCTTGCCTGAGAGTGGGCACAAACAATGTCCAAACATATTTAACCTGTGGGATGATTTTATAAAATGTTACTTTTTAAAGCAGCATCTTTGGTCATACCCAGAAGCATTGGGGGGCGGGGGGAAGGAAGCAGGTTGGTGGTTGGTTCCTGCATGCCTCTTTTGTGAGAGGGAGGTTCCTGCATGCCTCTTTTGTGAGAGGGAGTTGCTGTTTCCCAGGTGGATGCTAACAGGTCACTAACGTGTTTCTACAATAAACAAGTCCTCTTCCTTGGCCTAGAAGGAGAAAAAGCCCATGTCATGGGTTCCCTCCGACAAAGTGTCAGATGTGCTCAGAACAGGAAAGGCAATTCAAAAGATCCGGCTCAGGAGCAGAGGTTTGGCAATCACCAACAAAGAGCTAGATAATAAACTTGCTCCCCAAAAGAGCTTTGGCAAGCTAAGACCATGCCAGAGTTCCTCGAGAAAGATTAAAAATGTGTGTGTGTGTGTGTGTGTGTGTGTGTGTGTGTGTGTAGGTATGGATGTATATATAGACACACGCATCGGGGGGCTTCAAAAAGTTGGAAGAATTACACCATCTTTTGTTTTTAAGAGTCTGAGCTGGATTTTTGTCCACTCTCTATTAAATACACCCTTCCTCAAACTTTTTGAAGCCTACTCATATGTACACACACATACAGAGATAAGTATTGCTGCTAGGGCTTTAGTTTCCACACGCATGGGTTTATTCCAACTAGCACATGCTTAAATCTGTTGCTGTAATAAGTGGGGGGTTGGGGGGCCACATGCGTTCTCTCAGTGAAACACGTGGCTTTGTCTTTTGAGGCTGTCTCTAAACAAAGGGTCTAATGAAAATGGTGGCTTCAGAAGGGATCGGCTGGGACAGTTTAACTCAAGGGAGAAAGCTGGGTTCATAGAGTTAGAGTGTCTGTTTTGGGGAGTACAGAGGAGTGATCTTGACAGACTTTCTCAAAGAACACAGGACACTCAGAAAGCTTATCATGAAACATTTTAAAGAAAATGAAAAGTTGTATTAATAATAAAAAGGCAAGGAATGACCATGCACCTTCTCGTCTTTTGAGAGTAGCCAGGACTGTCTTATGAGAATTTTCTGGAAATCCATTCCCCACCCATCCAACAGCCCTGATCTTGCCCCCGCAGAGTTCTTTTTGCCCCAGAGCCTCAAATCATACTTACAGGGAGCAGAGTTTGAGTCCCTCAAGGGAACAAGACTGCTGTTTGGATAGAATGCAAATCAAAGCACCCAGGATGTTTCAGGGGGGAAAGGCTACAGAAATAAAAACATGGCCTTCAGAAATCTATGAACCTAGAGGAAGGGTTTGCCAAGAAACAGTACTTCATATTTTAATATTATGTTTTATAAACATTTTATTGCTTTATAGAAATACTTTAGTCACACCTTCTTGTGTATGTATGTATATTTATATATATGTACATGCATATATATATTTATAATATGTATGCATGTAGATTTATTCAAATTTCTTTAACAAACTGAGTGAGTTTTAAATAGTTCCCTTATCTACATACAAACATTTAAGAAATGCTAATGTTCCTAACAAATCATTTGGCTCTTCACCTCAGCAAACTGACTGCCATTAAGGCAATGGTGACTCATAGTCACCCTGCTGTGGGTTTCCGAGATTGTAACTGTGCTGCAGGATTATTTTAGTGTAAAATCTCCACCGAAACTCTAGGAAAAATAGAATAACATATACCCACCATGTATGTTATACACACACACACACTCACACACAAGCATATAGACACATCATACATTATATATGTGTCTATACATTATATGTGTCATCATTATACATATGGCTAAATATATAGCAAAATTTAGGGGAGGAAAAAACTGAAATAGAAGCACAACTCCTGGCTTTGGCTCTGGGTTGCTGTTCCTCATCAGACAGGGTAAAACTTGTCTATAATATAACCCCATTTGGTAGCTGATTGTTAGTTATAATTCAATAGTGATTAGACTGTTATTATAAGATTTTAAAGCCTCAATAGATAATAAAAGGTGTCTGAATTTCCCTTCAAATATTGCTAAAATTAAGGGGGACATGGTCTAGTTCCTTAACTGTTAGACATTTACACTATTAAGAAAGAAATGTGCATTTGTCATAAAATAATGATAATTAAGAGAGCTCACATTATGATCTCTCATACTTTGCCATGCTGTCCTTTATTTGCATCTCACAGATGCCCTATGCGTGTGGTGGCATTAGATAACAAATTGAGACTGAGGTTTGAAGTCGCTTGCCTATACAGAAGCTACATGAATTGGCTGGCAGGTAG